TACAAATAATATCAAGTCTTTGTCTTTCACAAAAGAGATATTATTTTTTTAATATACTTTTAATACTTTAAGTTCTAAAATTAAGTGGATCAAAAGCTGTCACTGTTTTAATTACAATACTTGATTCCTGTGCAGTAAGGCCCAAATAGCAAGTATACTGAAATGAATAGCAAAACTTCCAATTACTTTCAGAAGACTGACGTTCAGTCCAAAATTACATCTTGCAAAACTCAGCTGCGTGACATGAGATTGCCTTTTCACACTCATATAGATAGAAGTGGATAGGACTGCCCAGCATGAATCTGTGCAGGAATGTACACATGAGCAGTGTAGGTATATCCTGCACACAAGAGGGCACATGAAGGCACATACTTACAAGCAAGAATCTATCCACATTACAATGTTGCAGGTACAGCTGCATGGGTCTATAAGCATGCCTCCTCTGGCATACCCATGTCTCTAGACATACATCCGCTTATACATGCATACAAACAAATGCATATCCATATATTTCCAGCTAGATTTGCATACCAAACTGAATGCATGACTACCCACAGAGGGACACATACAGTACTTTCTGTCCCTCTCTCTGTCTCTCAGGTATCTTTTTATAAACTGGTTCCCACCTTCTCAGATTCGTGTGTGCTTTCTCAAATTGTTCTCAAAGCAACCAATCTCCTTGAATTCTCACATTTTGTTACAAAGAAACAGATTAATTCAGAATGGCTTTCTTCTTCTGGAAGTAACTTGCTTTCATTTGCTAAACTTCATATCTTCGATAGAGTATGCCAAAGCCAAGGAGAAAGAAAAAGAAAGAAAAAAAAAAAAAAAGCAACACCAAAACCGGGGAGAAAGAGGCTTGTTTTCTGAAAGCCAAGGAGACTGCATTAGAAAAAAAGATGTGAGAAAATCAGCTCAGATGATGATTCATGGTCACATTTCTCAGTATCTTGTAAAAAATAATAATGATCATTTCTGATTCCAGATATCCAGAACTTCCAGCATCCATCAGTTTATCAGTTTTATGTTTTTCCCCTTTGCCTATTTCCTTCCACTGCATTTTTTTTAACTTGCAGTCTTCCACTCCAGTGAATCTCTGTCTTTTAAATGACCGAGAAGAGAGAAACAAGAGCTCCACTCAGAGAAGCTACAGATAAGCATAAAGATCTCTGGGATTCAGGATTCAATTAGGTAAAATAGAAGCTTGCAGGAAGGTTGCCTTGCACGGAGTAAAAAGCCTTTGGAGTGTGCCCTCTCGTGGCCATTCTTTATTCAGCACAGATATTCATACCATTAAATCCATTTCCTTTCAAAAGAAAATTGATGAAATGATTTAAAGAGTCATAAGTGGCCCATCCTTTTCCTCCTCCTGAGCTGCCAGACTGGCTATATAAGAGTAGGCATCATGCTAAGAAAAGGTGTGAGTGTGTACATACACATATCTGCTTATAAAAAAAGTTGGTATCACCTGATCAAGCCAGTTCACCTTGAATTCAGTAGGAAGGGAGGCAGAAAGGTAAAAGCAGTGTAAATAGCCGTGACACTTGTTGTGGTTTTGTGTGCATGTGTGTTGGTTGTGTTTTTTTGTGTGTGTTTTTTTTTTTTTGGTCTGTTTGTTTTTTCCCCTCTGACAATTCTCCTAATGATAAGCCTTTGGATTAGTATTTCTACCCAGAAATTCCCATTGCCTTCTTGGGTGCTGACGTTAGCAACCCATTTCATTGGTAGTTTAGTTGCCAGGATCAAATTCACTTGGAAAAATCCCAGATCTGCCTAATAAGCTATCTACTTAAAATAATGAACAAGTTAGTAGCCAAACATATTTTATGAGCAATCGCTATCTCAGTTACAGAACCTGTTGGATTTTCTCGTCATGAATCTATATGATCCCTCTCCTCAAAAGACAATTTTTAAGTCCTTGAAATAACCCACAGAGTTCTGGCACAGCTACCCTCCTAGCAGAACTAATCGAGGTTAGTAATCTTAGTTTGATATGCAAGTAGAAAATCACTTTCGTGTTTTACTTGTAAAACTGCCAAAGGACAGTAGGGTGCATTTGTAAACTTTTGCCCAATACTCATGGTCATTAGTTTTGCAAAGATTTGCCTGGATTTGTTAGCTGTGAAAACTAACTGCCAACTATTTTGCTGATTTCCTGGACGTAACTACACCTGTGCTTCAAACATATTCCCTGCATTTAGTTTCCCCTCTAACTGTCTGTAGCCTATGCTTGCTTGAATTTTGGTCTCTTATAAAAGAGCAGTCTCAAGCCAGAGCCACGTGCACAGGGCACTTGTTTGTTCATTCACTCCATTTCATTGTATGTCTGAGGATACGGCTGATGAAGGATGGAAATACTAGGTTTTTTTTATGAAGGCAAGTAGTAAATGTGGCTTCTGAAAGGTAAAGGGAATGGCTGGTTTATGTCAAGTCATACCCAAAGGAGCAAAAAGCCTGAAGTATTATTTCTCTTTCCATAGACATTTATTTGATACAATGTGAGATGTTTCCATTCATTTTCATTGATTTCCTATTCTCTTTTGAAACAGAGTGAGTTTCACATTAAAAGCAAAAAGAATATTAACCTGACTGTGAGAGTAACATGTTCGGTGCTTTAAACTTATCCATACTCCTCTCAGTTACTACAGACCAAACGCTGGGGACTGTCCATGTGGCTATATTCTGTTCCTGTCTTTTTTTTTTTTTTTTTTCCTTTTAATTCCTACCCAGCATGTCATTTGCCTTCTTTTTGCCTCAATTTCCTCAACAGGAAAAATAATATTGCTTTAATATTTGACACACAATACCGCTGGTGCAGGAGTGGAAGAGAGCCCAGGTGAAGTTTATTCATGTGTTGCAGCACTGGCACCTGTAAAGCATGGTGGATCCACCAGTGTTAGCATCTACGAGCGGCTCCAGGTGAAAAATATATGTATCAGCAGTTGGAAGTCCACAGACTGGAGTCAACGTTTCCGTTATAAGCCCAAATGCTGGAACACAGTTTCTCGGTTGCTGAGACATCCTCCCAAATAAAAACCTGGCAGATATGGGATGCAGGGCTGGAGTAATCCTCCTGCCTCAGTTTCCAGGATGGGCTTAGGTGGAGGAGAGAGCAGGGAAGAAATTGCACGAGTACACAGCTTGTGCCCAGTGCATGCGGCCCCGCAGCTCCATAGCATAAGTCTTCTTCAATTTGGCTAGCAGTGGTAGGACAACGCTATGTAAATCAAAGTAAGTGACGTGCTAGTATTGGGTATTTTATAGCGGCGGATCAGTGGCTGGACTATTGGCCAGTGTGTGGGCCATGGCACGATTTTCACTGCTCACGTGAGCCCAGGAGCCAATGGCTTCAGGAGTTGCCATTGGAGGGTGTCATACTGAGTAGGCATATATCAAATTCCAAATTCCTTTGTGTCAGAGCTCAGGAGAGACAATAATGTGTTTACAAATGATTGGGACTCACACAGTGAAGAGAAACCACTGTTCATGCCATATGTGTTTCACAGTGCTCAGAGCGAGCTGCTGAATACCAGGTGGGGAATCCGACTCGTAGATCGCCTAGGGATTTCATTGCATTTAAAAACTCATTTCTGAACTAAGGTTGATCCCCTCCTGCTTCTCAGGACCACTGGCATTGACATCTGCCTGCTTTCTGAAGTGGGGGTGGGATGAAAAAAAATGAAGAGCCCGCACTTGCATACTGAAGGGACTGATAATGTGTGTATTGACAATGACGCCAAAGGCAAGGGCTCCTTGTACAGTTGGAAATCGGACAGCTAGCAGGAATGTCTGCTCTTAAAAGCATGCACACTTCTTGTGCATGGCTTCCCTGCAAACAGAACATCTGAGTCAACAGGTTTTCAGGACTGGAAACTCTGAGTGTTGTCTTAATTGTTTATACTGCTGCAGCAAACTTTTAAACAAAAATGCTTGGTGTTCCTTTGCATACTTTGCCTACCATATGCTGTACCAAACAAAACAATGACATTCTTTTAAAACCGTCTTGGCAACAGGAAAAATGCTTTGGCTAGACAGCATCATAAAAAGTTGCTGTTAGTTAGATGATAGAGTTATTGCAAGATATTGACATTGTTGCATATATAAATATACTCGCACATACAAACAGATATATATGCACATACATATACATTGAATTACAGTGAGTTCTGGTCCTATTCATGTAGGAACAAGACAGTAAAGTACAACTTTAGAGTGGTTTCCTATAGGCAGTTGATGTGAGCCTGAAGCTATTAGTTAGAAAATATCAATATTCTTAGCTCTTACTACATAACAGTTAGGGAAAACAGTGCTTTAAGAGTTCAAAATGCAACCTTGATAGGGTGCATTTTTTTTGGCAGGAGAGGTTTAGGAGCAGAATCTTTTTTCCAGTATGCAGAAGCCTGCATTACAAATTGGATCAGCTACAGCAACTTGTCCAGTTCTATTGAAGTCATCTGACAGTCCCTGCAACTCTTTACTGCCGAAGATGCTGTGTTAAATTAGAAAACAAAAATGCCCTCTCGCTTCTAAAAGTTAAAGCTGCTTCCGCAGATTTTATAACTTCCACTATATTTTTTACAAGAAAGGGCAGTTTCTCAAGTAGTTTGCAGATCACTTTCTGTCTTTAGAAAGTCCCCAAAAGGCTTCAGCCCTTTTTGTTTCACCATCAGCCCTGCGATCCACTACTTTAGTGCAAGTACTCTGGCTTCACAAGCAGTTTGGAGGACCCCTTTGCAGCCTGACTTTCTGCTAGAGATTGGTTAAAGAGCTTCCTCCCTGTGTGGCTGCCTGTGCTTAGCAAGTGTAATCTGTAGCCAAGACTAAGTCAGAGAAATCAAATTCCTTCTGAGACCCCCCCCCCCCAACCCATTCCTCCTTCTCCCTTCCCCCAGGTCTCATCCCACAACCTTGGAGAAAACAGTACTGCTGAGGAGAAGAAAAGAAGTTAATTGCAGTTCTGGCAAGCAGGCTATTTTACTGTTTTGTTTTTAAGTACTCACCTGATTCCGCAAAAGTGATGATTTCTGAGGTTTGCTCCACAACTTCATTCATTTCAGCTCTTCTTCCAACATCATCCTCTATTTCCACATAGCCATCCTCTCCCACCTTCCCCACGTGGAGTTTCTTGATGGCATTTAAAAGTGCTGCCTTGGGCACCGGCTGGGTGATATTAGGTCTGTCCCTCAAGTGCAACATGTTCAGTATGTGCTTCTTTACTGCTTCCACCATCTCAGGCTGTGAGCTGGGCACATCCTTCGAGAGCGTGGCAAGGGCACATGATGGACAGTCAGTGACTGAACTGTGCCCCTCGGATCCTGGGGTTGGGGAACTCCTCACTATAATCCAGCAAAGCACCAACAAAAATCCTCTCTTCCAAAGCAAAGGCATCCTGGCAGCAAAAGTTGTTGTGATTCCCTTTTTAAAAGGCCCTGCTTTTCCTCCCCCTTCACGCACAGTTTTTTTGGGGCTGGTTTGGTTTGTTTGTTTGTTTGTTTGTTTTTCCTTCTCTTCAGCAAATTCTCTGGAACAAGAACCAAAAGTTTTCTGTGAAGTTTTGTTTGCAGGTTCCCTCTCTGAATGCAATAAGTGCTGTAGATGTTTGTGGCTGTCAGGGAGAAGAGTTCTGACTCTGTCTCAGAGTAGGAGAGAGACACAGAGAGAGGGAGAGAGAGGGAGAGGACGGATTGGCCTAAAGTGAGTGAGTGAATGGGAGAGGGAGGGAGTTCTGTCTGTGAGTAAAGGCTATGATTAGGAAGGGGGAGGAACAGGCAGGCTGGCTTCCTTATGCTCATTGCTCCCCTAACACACACCTCTCTTCAAATATCACTACTCGGGTTTTCTGCCCTCCCCCCTTTCTAAAATCTCTTTTAATTCCTGTAAATTCACTCTCTTTTTTTTACAGTTTGACCCTCCTGTCTCCCTCCTGGCCGTCATCTTCCCCCCCACCCCCACCCTTTTTTCTTTCTTTCTTTTTTTTTTTTTTTTTTTGTTTGTTTTATTCCTTCAACAGTATCACTGGCTTAACTAAACAGAGGAAACATGAATGAATGGAAAGAGTGAAACCTTTTATTAATGAGCACCTTGCTCTTGTCCTGTCTGGTATTGTTAGGGATAGCAGGAGATCTTAAATAGCTTGCGAACAAGAGGGCACTGAGGGCAGGGGCTGAGAGTCTGTTGGGCAGAATGTTATTCTGCTTTGAGTAGAAGAGAAAAGATCTTTTCTACTCACTTGTAAATGCTGGAGGTTATCAACACTGGCAAGAGATCTGACAGGAGCAAAATAACACTGTTGTTTGGAGGGCTATATAATACATGATCCGCTCTCCAGCTGCAGTACATGGTCAGGCACTGAGAACCTAAGCCGGAGTTGGTACGGCACATATCTGTGACATGCTAAGGTACTGCCCTGGCACCAGAAATATCCTTGCTTCTATGCTAGTCTGTGCCTAGAAGTTCTCAGGCAGATATATTTAGGTTTGGGGTTAATCAAGTAATGTCTGAAAAATGCTTTGAAGATGGAAAGTGTTACATGTCATCTGGCCAAATCATACTTGCTCCTGACTCAGGCAAATCCCTCATCGATGCCAATAATAATTCTGTCTGAGTGAAGGCTGAGTAAGATCTTCTACATTTGGCCCATTGTTATTAGAAGTCACTTTTTGTTTCATTCATTTAAATGACACAATCATAATATTAGAATAAGACATCACGAATAAAACATAGTTGAAAAAACAGTTTCAGCCACTGTTGGTAGATCCTTGGTATTTTATACTGACAAGGGTTTTGCCCAGCAGTAGAAAGGCATTTGCTATGTTACTGTCATGACTTCGTATCACCTTTATGTTCTGCAGCATCTCTGTTCTGTTCCTTACCTAGCAAGGGTGAAGCTAGCAAACTCCCTCATGTTTGGATGTGGTAACAGAAAATGAGAACGCTAAAAGCTGATGGAGTTTAACTTGAGGTTTTTCTGCACCAGACTAACTTTTGCTAATTTTCTTAGAGCCTTTTTTAGTAATAGCCCTCTTTCTTTTCCTTCCTTTCATACTCTCTCTCTCACGCACTTCTGCCTTCTTCTCAGGTGTGGTTACCTCCTACCCAGCAAATATTCCACTTTCACTATATTACCGTCAACCATTGTATTTTAGTGGAAAGGAGTAATTTATAAATATAAGCATTGTAAGGTCTCTAGTTTCCATGAGATGATTACAGACACATGGGCTGAGAGACAGGCATGGGATTATAGTTAAATGAAACATACAGAAGTAACTGAACAATCAACCAAAGTTTTACAAATGTTATATATTGCAAGTCCTTTTCAATTAAGGTCTTTTATAAGTCTTTCACTGTTATAAGGCATCCACAGTACACCCTCATCTGTGTTTTACTGACCTCAGTTGCTATACTGTTATATACTGTTACACTTACGGGTCTGTCAGCATTATAAACCCTGCAGCCATTCTTATAAACACATCTTTGTAACACAAACCTCGCTATAATACATCTAAATTTCTTGGATCTCATGAACAGCCCAAAGTCTGTTGTAATTATATGAAGTCTGAAAGTCAGCTTGAAATAGAACTAAAAGTTTAATTGGATGAAAAAATAATTTCAGTTGAAAATATGCATTCATGATTAGATATACTAACAGATGACATAATTAAAGGGGTTATTTATAGTTCTAATATAGCACCTATCCCAACAGTGTCTGATGAAAAGTAAGGGATAGGCATATTTCAGTTTAAAAGACAGATAAGTATGTTTGGGTTCTTGTTGTGAGGTGTACATTGCTTGCCATATATAACAGGTACACTTATCACAGACAATCTATTACATATAAGTATAGCATATTATACTTGCATGCCATGGTGATGACAGATTTAACATTAAAGCATAACTTTTCAAAAAGCATTGTTTTCTAAAAGCGAGTCTGCTAGTACCACAGATAGATAGTTCATTAGTACTTACATACATACCTATATATATATATATATATATATATGTTCATGTCTAAAAATACATAGTGTTTGGATAAATATAAAAATGATGGTTCAGATTCTTTTCATAAAATTACCTGAGCTGCAAAGCTCTGTATATACATTCATTCAATATATCCGTAACAATATGCAACAGCATGCACATGAATTAAAAGTTTTAGTTTTAAAAGAAAAAAGCTGGTTTAAAGTTTTACCTCTCTAGTCCTCACTCTCAGAAGGAGACTGCTGTATTGTGCATTAAGAACTGCTGAAGTTCCTCTTTGTGGTACTTATAATGCGAAGCTTTATACTGTACTTCTCATGTGTACACTCACATATAGTGTCTGTCAAAAGTAAGTGGGCCGGATCAGTGTGCTGGATTGGTTAATCCTGTTACATCAGCAATTGACTGTTTTTCCTGTATGAGACATACTTCTGGTAATTATCTAATGGAAACTCCTAATTGTCTAGCATGACAAAATATCGTGAATTCAACTTGTAGTGGTGATCTCTGTATCCATTTAAAGAATAGAACCTAGAATGAGACTGAAAGCAAACATTATGAGTCAGGAAGACACACTCCAACTTGTTTTATTGCATAGCTAGATATAGATATTATTAGATGTAGATATCACTGATTTAGTTCAAATACAGTATTTGCCAGATACTTAATTAATAGTTAGCAAATCGTTTTAGTCTTCTATCATGCTGAGGATTTATCAGATAATCTATCTACAAATTTGGATTACTTTCAAATTCAGGAAAATGCATTTGATTAAGAATCCTTTTGCAGAGGATATAATTTTTAGCTCAATCTTTGTATAAATTTATCCTTCTGTTAACTTAGGGATAGTTTTAAAGCTCTCCAAAACTGAGCTATATTGCTCATGTCCGAGTCTCAGAGCTCCTTGACATGCAGATTGTGTCACTATTAAAAACTATTTAGACACATAAAAATAAGTTACAATGAATGACAGTTTTTCTTTTTTTTTTTCTTTTTTTTTTTCTTAGGTATGACTTTAACTCCCGTGAAATAAAATCAACTTGCATTTTCGTTTCAGTTTATAGTAGTGAAACTTAAAAATAACTATGGCTATTAGGTAGTACGTAATTAATATATATATAAGGTCAAAAGTAAAGCCAAAATCAATCTCTTTTCTTAAACACACATAATAGCTAGCTTTATGTGGTACCGTTTATGACAAATGGCATGATCATGCAGTCTTTACTCATTCAAAACACCCACTGATTACCAGAAAATCCCCATCCTTCAGATTTTTTTTTTTGGCCTGAATCGTACTTATAATTGTATTTTTATGTCCTGTTGGTAATGTAAATTTAATCTGTCTTGGAATATGGCTGCATCAGGCAAGAAAGATTTAAAATTTTCAACTTACAGTGATACCAGGGAGTCCTTAGAGCAGCACTGATTCAGACTGAAGTATGTGCAGTATTCACACAACAGCTTTGGTAGAATGAGCAAAAAATCAGGAGTTAATGGGAAACATATGACCAGATAGGTTGTTTTGTTTCCTAGGTTTAATATGCATATAATAAGTTTTCAGGCTTTAACGTGCTGTGGATTGAAGCCTCTTGAAACAGGTTTCAGTAGCTTTCCTGCAGCCTGACATTGGTGGTTCCAGTTGTTACAAAGAACATTTTATTTTTATTTTTTCCCTTCAAGGACAGAGAGAGAGGCATGCTTGAAGAAACAAATAGTGAGTGTGTGTGCACATACCTACTTATTTATAGGGCAATATCTTTAATGGGGATCCTAAAACCAAGTTGTGGCAGAGGACTTTTCCAGCACAGAACTGTGTTTTTTTCAGGACCAAACTGAATTTGGTTTTAGCTGGCATCCTAAGCCCCTTTGAAATTAGTTACATACTGGTAGCGCAGTGACTGTTGTGATTTGGCAGCCGACAAGCGCTCAGCAAGAGATCTTGTACTGCACTGGTTTTACAGAGAGTGGAAAAACTGCCCTGCCAGTACCAGAGTTACCTTCTGCTGGGACACAGGACGGCACAGGGCCCACTTGCAGCAGCAGCAGTTGGTGCTGGTGCTGGTGCCAGTCCCACCAAGCATCTCACCCTGCTGCGGTTCCAGCCCCTGCGGGGGCTTCTCCCCAGACTGCCGCCAGTCGGGGGCTCCCAGGGAGAAAGCGTGTGGTCCAGGACAAAAAGAGAATGCTACTGAGCAAAGCACAGCAAACGTGCACATGATTTATAGCACGGGATAACTTCTGAAAGGAGATTAGGAGAAGTGAAAAGCATTATTCATTTCAGAGCATGCTCCTTATTGCCTCGGGGAATTCGCGTATAGCTTTACCAAAGGCCTAATGAAAGCTTTACTCAGTGACTAATTTTTTTTCACACCTATTTCTCTCTTTATAAATATTTTTCTCCCCACCCCTCCACTTCTTCTCATTTTGTTGAACACAGCAACACCTGCTGGCAGTGGTCCGGGAGTACTGCTGGAAAGGCCCACTGATCTAACTCTTCAGACCAGCTGCCATTAAGCACTGCCAAGCCATATTAATGAGCTGCCTCTATTTTTACCCCTTCCTTCCAGAAAGGGCAGAAAGGGATTTTGGGAAAAACTGTAGCTGTATTTCTTTTATTTTTCAGTTCTTTTTTTTTTTTTTCCTGATTTTTTTTTTTCTGGCAGCTTCAGAATCCAGATAATCATTGTTCATTTAGTGAAGTTAGGATTTCTAACACCAATTCCAATGCCATGAATTGAGACCAGATAAAAGAGTGATGCTGAGCCTATCTAGA